CGGGCGCCCACGACACCTACTGAAAGCACGACGACTGTTCTTCTCGTAGTCACTTCCACTGGTCTTGAGGAAAATGGGAACTAGCAGGTTCCTGGCTGCAGTGGTTGCGGCCTTGGCGCTGACGGCATCGACTGAGGGTAGATATATCAATCATTCACGCTTCTCTCTCCTCTCTCTCTCTCTTTTCCTCCCGTTGTATGTATATCTCCCTTTCTCTCCCTTCCTCGCTCTGTCTATTTGTCTGTATATCTCACTCCCTCTTTCTTTCTATGTCTCCCTCTCCCCCTCTCTTTTCCAAATAAATAATTACTACAGCAGAATTTTCACGGGGACGAATAGATGACTGTTTATGAGCTTAAAAACTTCATTCAAAATGTTCACATGAAAACAGAAAGTGAGGAGAAGAGAAAGTAAAGAATGAAGTGTGTAAAATAGGTATATATGCATACACACACACATATATAGTATATATATTTGTGTATACACACAGAGGGAAAGAGGAGGTGAGTGGTGTAATAGTTCGGCCGTTCTATTTCAACCGACTCAACTAAAAGGTCCAACTTTGTGATTATATATATTTATATCTATATTGATATATATGTGATCATATCACTGAAATCTTTCTTGTAGGCCTCAGCATCTGCACCACGTTGACCTGTCCTGAGCCCAACGGCCTCTTCGCGCACCCGACGGACTGTCACCGCTACGTCAAGTGTGCCAACAGCCACGCCTACGTCGAGACCTGCCCCGCCAACCTGCACTTCAACGAGGCCTTGGGAAGCTGCGACTACCCGCAAAACGCCATGGTAAGGTCAGACCTGATCACTTGTGTCTCCATATATATTTATATTTGTATATCCATATATATCTATACATATATACATATGTATACATATATATACTTATATATGTATTTATATTTATACATACGTGTGTATATATATACATGTGTTTATATATGTATATACATATATATGTATATATATATATAATAATAATAATAATATGTAATATGTATATATATAAATGTATGCATACATATAGATGTGTCTGTATCTATATATACATATATACTTATACATACATATATTTAAATATACATATATATGTTTATATATGTCATATGCCTCTACATATATATGTATATCATATATATATTCAAACATACAAATATGTATACACATATGTGTACGTATATGTATATATATGCATATATCTGTGTGTGTATGTATATACAAATATATATTATATATATGCATGCAAATATAAACAAATGAATATATACATATACGTACTTATAAACACATATAAATATACATGTATATATATATATATATATATATATATATATATATATATATATATATATATATATGCATATATATAAATATATATTTATATATATATATATGTAGTATATGTGTATTACATCAATGATCATGTTATTGTGATATAAACACTCTAGCCATGCATTGCCTCCGAGCATTTTCACCAGGAAATCAACTTCAAACTAATATCCTTCCAGTGTGACATCACCAAGCGACTGGAGACCGAGGGATGTTCCCTTCGGCCCGCAAAGGCCAGTCGATCCTTGCCCAGAGAGTCAGACCTTTCAGTCCAGTGCGACTGCGACTGCTGCCTCAAGCCACACAAGGACTGCAACAAATACTACGAGTGCAAGGTAGGAGGGACGACGCCCCCTGAAGGCTCTTCGGTTATTGCATTGAACTTTATTTGGGAATAAGGAAAAATCATGACTTTCCTTTCTTTCCACGGGAACTATACCTACATTTGATTCACTCAACTAGTAAAGGAAAAAAAAAAAATATATATATATAGTACATACAAATATACATATATTTCTATTCAAGGTAAAATTGCTTTGAGTAGACAGCCACATCCAACAAATGCAGAGTCAAAAAAATATAATTTTTGTCTTTTATTACAGGATAACATTGCCTACGTTAAGGAATGCGGAGGTGATTTGGTGTTCAATCCTGCAAAGGAACAGTGCGACCTTCCAACCAATTATGAATGCCCTAAACCAGTGATATGCGGCTGCCATTGCCGATACCCAGTCGACGGGGAGTGCAATGCTTACTATGACTGTAAGTAATAAAAAATGCAACTACTTTAATCTTACCTTGCAAATGCTGTTAATGAGTGGCTTAAGTAACATTTTCTTATTTTCATCGTTTTTACCTTTGTGTTATAACTTTACTCATAAATTGACTCAAGTATAGCCCATATCTTTACTGTATGTACATAGTACTAATATGCTCATTTGTAGTGTATCGTTGAGGAAGCGACTATTTCACGTGAATATTCTCATTTGTGTTTTTGGGAACCCGTCATATTTTCCGTTAATAAGTACATTCTTGAGAAGATTATAAATTAATTCAACCTTCAGGCAGGGACAACGAGGCGGAGAAGAAGTACTGCTCAGAAGGCCTGCTGTTCAACCCCGATACCCGCATGTGCGACATCGCTGCCAATGTTGACTGCCCGACTGATCCTCCACCACCTGGACCTTGCGATGGAAACGTCTTCGATTCCGACGTTAGTTGATCTTTCTCTTTCTCTCTTCTATTATTGATGCTAATAAGTTAATTGCTGACATCAGTTACCATAGTTATGACACTAATTCAAAGGCCTTATCAACAGCCTGATTGCAAGTTCTGGGCCGCCAACAACGACTGTCACTGCAAGTGGACAGATGGTGACTGCTCCTGGCAGCACTTTGTCGCCCGTGCATGTCCCCGTAGCTGCGCCTGCCAAGACCATGTGGACGTCAGCAAGCCTCCTGTACCTGAATACCCTTGTGTGGACTGCTCTACCGGACAACAGTACTGGCAGCATCCCAGCGACTGCCGCAAGTTCATCCAGTGCGCACCCTACGGACCTCAGGAGATGCCATGTGGAGAGGGAACAGTGTGGGACCAAAACCTGCTCACCTGCAACCATGAATGGGCTATCCAGTGCTTGACAGGCAACTTCCTTCTCTCTAACGGAAGCTGTTCAGGATGCTCAGGATGTACTCCTCCAGCAAAGCCCACAACCAGGCCTACCCAAAAACCTGTCACACCAGGCAACTTCACATGTGTGGATTGTTCCACTGGCCAGCAGTACTGGCAGCATCCTACTGACTGTCACAAGTTCATTCAGTGTGCACCTTACGGTCCCCAGGAGATGCCATGCCCTGCAGGAACCAGGTTTGACCAGAAGATCCTCACTTGCAACCACGAGTGGAAGACCCCATGTGTGACAGGCAACTACCTTCTACCTAATGGAAGCTGTTCAGGTTGCACCGGATGCCCAACAGTAACCATCGAACCACCAGTTGGCTGCGGTGGTGAGAATCCAGACTGCAAGCACTGGGCTGCCAGTGGAGCCTGCACCTGCAAGGCAGGCAGTGACTGTACTTGGGCGAACCAAGTGGCTTCAATGTGCCCCAAGACCTGTCGAGGGGACTGTGGGTCAGTTACTCCAGTAACGGACCCCTGCAACCTCGTGTGTCCTTCTTACAGTGGTCTTTTCCCACACCCAAAGGCCTGTACCAAGTGGGTTCACTGCGACCACTACATCCCCTACGTGAAGGACTGCCCCGCTGGTTTGCACTTTAACCCAGCAATCAAGGTAAATAATGATATCCTGAGGAAAGAACTTTCTATTACACACTATATGACTTAATCTCAATCTGGATATCTCACGGGGTATCCAGTTTTGAGTCTTTGCTGCTGAGTATTTTGCACACTTTCAATTGGCCTACTATGATGCTTTCTCTGTAAGCATGTCTTTTTGATTTATATGCTTCATCTTCTATTGATGATGTCTAAATCTTAACTTGTTTAAAAAGGTATGCGACTGGCCAGATCGCGCAGGTTGCACCTCAGGAGAGCACCAGAGTTGCGTAATTCCCACTGATCCACCAGTCACCGGGCCCCCTCCAACACCCAGCCCCTATTGCACATGCGAATGTTGCCATCTTCCTCATCCAAATGACTGCACAGCCTATTACTACTGTGATGTAGGTTTATTCTTTATATTCGATTCACATAGCTGTTTTCACTCTGAAATGCACATATGAATGAATCTAGTATATCTAATGCAATCTGATATAATATCTCAACACAATGATTCAATAGTAATTAAACTGATTTCAGGTGAACAAGAACATTACCTTCTTCACGTGCCCGTCTGGGCTAGTATTCCATCCGGAATTGGATACGTGTGTGTACCCTCATGATTACCCACAATGTGATATTGAAGTGCCTCCCGTTTGCGAGTGTGACTGCCACTATCCCTCAGAGATTTGCAGCGAATACTATGACTGTGAGTGACGATATTTCAGTAACAGGGATATCAAACTTCGAACATATTTCTAACCTTATATTGAATACTAACGTGCCATATCCATGCATAAACATGTCCCTTCTTTGAACAGTGTATGATTTCTTTTTCTGCTTTTGCCAGGCATCGACAATGTGCCCGTGAAGAAGGAATGCCCCTCCGGTCTCCTGTGGAACCAAGAAAAGAAGTCATGTGACTATCCCGAGAACGTCGACTGCAGCAATCGGAGAACGTAAGGCTTCGACCGTGCATCAAGGCCTGAATTTTTGATCCGAAACACACATGACTGACAGGAATCTTTCTATTGCCTACAATGAAACGTTCTTATGTCAGAAGGCATGAAAATGCTACCTGAACAATAGTTTTTTTTTTTCATTTATGATACTCTTTTCTGATAATCATGTTTCTTTGGCAAAATTTTCTTATCATTTACTGTCTTTGAATTCTACTTGCAATGCATCTCGAAAAAACATATTTGTTGTTTTCTTTCCCCAAATAAACCACTTACGTATAATTAACCAAAAACAAAACACTAGAGGAATACAATGAGGTGCTTTTGCTAAAAGAAAAATGTGTGGCTTGCATGTTACTACTGCATCAATCCAAACACTCGACAGCCAGTGCATCGAAGTGGCAAGTACTTGGAAAGCCGATCTATGGACTAGAGTCAAATATAATCATGAAAGTAAAGCATGGACTGCAAAACGTGACTACATCAATAACAACATTGACAATGAAGTGGCAAGCTTTTACCATCTATCGCCACCACGTTTTCCCTCCCCCCCTCCCCACGTCCCCGTCTTATCCCCTCTTGTCCTCTTCCCAAGGCCCCTTCTCCTCTCTCCTCCTAACTACTTATCTCTTCCTTGCTATTACTTTAATAACTATAGGGATGATAATAAAAACGATGATAGTAGTAACAGAAAGAATAACAACAATAATAGGAATGTAGGGCGAGGCTGTCCCTGGACGGGCCGTAGGAGCATGTGAGAAAGATCTCGTGCGTCCTGTTTCGGCACATAAGAATAAAAAGGGTTCCGTATTCAGCAGGTTAGAGATATTCATGTGGTAGCGGAATTAGCTCTCAATATCATGGCCAAAGCTATATGCATCTAACCTGACTGCAGGAAAAGCCTGAATGCTGTGTTGCATTGTCAATGTACTCTCGTTAAGCGAGAGTACGAAAAGTTACAAATAAAAGAAAGTAAGAAAACACGAATGAACTGAGAAATCACCAAACAGACATAACATAAAGATCATAATGTGGGTTAAACTTCTCACTTAGTTAAAATAAAGAAAATAAAACGTGATGAAATAAAAATAAAAGCCAGTTCATTAAATCATTATTATTAAGCCATAAAAACAATACACAACTAAAACCTCCATGAAAAAAGAGCAATCTTAATAAAAACAGAAAAAAACAATACCTTTAAAAAACAGCTTCGTAAATCCTTCGTAAAATCCACGTAAGAATAAATCCAGAATAAAAAAAAAAAAAGTTCGTTAAAAACGCCGGCTTTCTGAGGGAAAGACCGAGCGTAGTTCACAAAGCCAAAGGTGTGCGCAACTCTCTACAAGGTCGTTGACCCGACCTTTTATACGAACAAGGTCGTGCGCCAAGTTCGTTAGTTTCGGAGTCTGCGCAGCAAGACTCGTTATTCTTAAAAGTGTCGTCTGCTCCTTGAGACGTTGTAGCTTTAATCTTAGTTATTGTACGATTGCTCATTTTCAGTTGATATTTGCAGGGGAGGTATTTAAGAAAAACATATGACATTTTTTATAGAAATAAAAGGAAAATAAAATATATACAAGATTTTAAATATGAAACGAGATAAAATTACGCTGGCTTGCCAACCAGGCTCTGGCGCCAAACAACTATACACCGTTTTCTGTCGTCAGCTTTCAGAAATACGTTGTTTGCAGCGTTACTCCAGGTGTTTCCGGGCTGAAAGCCGGTATAAAGAAACATGTCATCCTCCTCCTCAGTAAAGACTACAGCAAGGTGTCCGCGTTCACTCGTCAGCGTCTTCTGCAGGCAGGTCCTCTGCAGCGTCGCCTTCTGCGCCATCTATAATCGTCCGTCACGGTCAGGCGCCAGGGATAGTCAGGGGGGGGGCTAGTAAGAAATCGGTTACGAAGCCTGACACAGGGGCGAGAGCGGCAAGTAGGAAGCTGAGACGTCAGCTCACTACAGGAATGACAATGAAAATAACAGTAAAAAAATAATAAAAATAATAGCAACATTAGTAATAATACTAACGATGATAATAGTAATAGTAATAACGATTATGATAACGATGATAATATCACTAATAGTAAATCAACAAAACAATAACAATGATAGTAATGATATTAATAATGATGACTATACTAGTGATATTGATAACAACAGTAATGATAATGATTATTACTCATACCATTACTACTATTACTAAATGATATTCTCATTACTAGTGTCTATTATTAACATTATTACTTTGATTAGTATCTTTTACACACACACGCACACGTCTATGTGTATATATATGTGTGTGTGTACATATGAATAGATATATTTATATATATACTATATATTCACATATATATACAGTATATATATACTGTATATACACAAACACATAATATCTATCTATCTATATATATATACATAAACACACAATATATATATACATACACACACACATATATATACACACCACACACATATACATATATACTGTATATACACACCCACACACAATATATATACATATATATGTATATATATACATATATATATATGTGTGTGTGTATGTCTATAATATATCTATATCTATCTATATGTATATATACATACACACATATATGTGTGTGTGTGTGTATCTATACATGTATGTACGTGTGTGTGTGTGTATGCATACATAAATACATAGATATTATGTATATATATATGTGTGTGTGTGTGTGTTTGTGTGTTATATACACAGGCACACACACATACATATATATACACACACATATATATAGCCTACGTATGTATATAGGTATATCGATACATATACCTATATACATATTGTTTATATGTATATATATGTATGTATGTGTCTATGTATATATGTATATATTTATCTATATGTATACAGACACGCACACATATATATATCTACATGTATACACATATGTGTATGTATATACGAATATATATATGTATATATACTAGTATAGGTATATGTATGTACATATATGTATATATTGTGTGCATGTATGTATATATATGCATACATATATATGTATATATGTAAACATGAATACACACATTTATACAGTATGTATGTAGGTCTATCAATATACCTATATACATACCTAGGCTACATGTATATATATATATATATATATATATATATATATATATTTGAAAATGAGACAACAGTTTCGGAATCCACCTAGATTCCATCCTCAGACCTGAGGATGGAATCTAGTTTTTACATTGTGGGTTATTCTACCATAGTATCAACACGGTAGAGTGTTTTCATCTTTCATATATATATTTATATATAATATATACATCTATGTATGTGTATGAATATATATATATAATGGTAGAAAAACCCACAATGTAAAAACTAGATTTATTGAATCTAGTTTTTACATTGTGGGTTTTTCTACCATAGTATCAACACGGTAGAGTGTTTTCCTCATTCATATATATATAATGAATATATATACATAAATACTATCTATATATACATATATACTATGTGTATATACATATATGTATATATATAAATATGCATACACACAGATACACACACACACATATGAATATATATATACATATATATATACACATATGGTCACATAAGTAGATAGTGAGATATCAAATGCACACACACACACACACATATGTATGTGTGTGTGCGTGCATGTGTGTGCGGGGGGGGGGGGGTTATATGTATATATGATCATTATCGTAAAAGAAATATTGGCAGATTGTGGCATCATCTTGCAAATCCTTTTTCGGCTCACTCCTAACAGACATACCAAGGGAAGTGGTTGCAACATGTGACATGTAAATAAATTACCCAAGCGAAAAAGACAGTTTATTTATATGTTTAAAAGAACTACAGCTGAACTAATTTGACCTTTTTTACGACATTCATACTTGGACTTAGAAGCACGCGTCTTTTTCTATGGAGAGGATTAGAATATCGAAGCCATTAGCATGTATATTTCAGAAGAGTAGATTGTTATAGACTATTTTTACTGACGTTCCAGGCTACCGATTCGCTGTAGCATTGGTTGTCTTTCAACTCCGGTAATATATGGTTCGTTGCCTTTTAGAAAGGGCATTGCACATAAAACAATCGTTTATATATTGCAATCATTCCCAAAAGATCCAAACAGAAGTTTCCCGAGCTAATTATCAGGTAGATTAGTAGACTTAAGCCTCTCTTTTTTCTTTTTTTCAAGACTCCTTATCCACATTACGTCGATATCTGATGATTTTTTCACTCTGCTTTGCATATAAGAAGTGCGGGACAAGCAACCGCAGCGGAAGGCGCCCACGAGGCTTACTGAAAGCACGACAACTGTTCTTCTCGTAGTCGCTTCCACTGGTCTTGAGGAACATGGGAACTAGCAGGTTCCTGGCTGCGGTGGTTGCAGCCTTGGCGCTGGCGGCATCGACTGAGGGTAGATATATCAATCATTCACGCTTCTCTCTCCTCTCTCTTTGTTTCTCCTCTCTTATCTCTTTCTCTCCCTTCCTCCCGTTGTCTGTCTGTATCTCTGTATATCTTTCTCCCTCACTCCCCCTCTCTTTGTCTTCCTCTCCCTTTCTCTTTGCCAAATAAACAATTACTATAGTAGAATTTCCATGGGGATAAATATAGGACAGTTTATGCGGCTAAAAACTTGTCATTCATATCATTCACATGGAAACAGATCTGACCACAAAAAATAGGGGAACAAAAAGTAAAGAATGAAGTATGCAAAATAAGTATACATACAAACACACACACATATATAGTATATTTGCGTGTGTATACACACAGAGGGGTAAAGGAGAAAAAGAGGGAATGGGTTATAGCTCGGCCGTCCTATTTTCAAGCAACTCAACTATTCAGGAAAGTCGGGGTGTTAATACACATATCCCTCTACGGACGATAGGTCCAACTTAGTGTTTTTATATATTTATGTCTTTATCGATTTACTTGTGATCATAAAGGTCTCAGCATCTGCACCACGTTGACTTGTCCTGAACCCAACGGCCTCTTCGCGCACCCGACGGACTGCCACCGCTACGTCAAGTGTGCCAACGGCCACGCCTACGTCGAGACCTGCCCCGCCAACCTGCACTTCAACGAGGCCTCGGGAAGCTGTGACTACCCGGAGAACGCTAAGGTAAGGTCAGACCTGGTTACTTGTGTCTCCATATATATTTATATTTATATATCCATATATATTTATATGTATTTTATCATACACATATATATTTGTATATATAAATACGTAAATATAGACATATATGCATATAAACAAATATTCTTACACATATATAAACCTACACACATCTGTGTGTATATATATACATATATATACATGATATATACACACACACGCACACACACACACATATATATATATATATGAACACAAACACAGGGACGTGTACACAAAGTAATAAAGGAAAACAGCCACAACTGTAAATGAAAACAATACGTAACATTTTGTACCCTTCAGGAGTTCCTCATCAGACGAATAATTAACCGAAATGGATGATTTCGGTTATTTATACGTGTTATAAAGAAGTCGCTTGTTATACGCCTGATGAGGAAGTCGAGAGGAGTTTTCATTTCTTATTGTGGATGTTTTCCCTTTCATATATATATGTATATATATATGAATAGATAGATATATGTATGATATATATTTATGTATGCATACATATACATATGTGTCTGCACGAATATATACATATGTATACATATATATACTTATATATATATATTTATATATATATACATACATGTTCATACATATGTATATACATACATGTGTATATATAGATGTGTATATATATATAATATAATATGTAATATTTATATATATAAATGTATGCATACATATACATATGTGTCTGCATCTATATATACATATATATTCATATATTTATATATACATATATATGTTTATATATATTTAAATATATATGTGATATACATATACATATGTATGTATGTCATATATATATTTAAACATATACAAATATGTATACACATATGTGTGTACGTATATGTATATATATATATGTATATATCTGTGTAAGTATATACAAATATATATTATATATATCCATGCAAATAGATATATACATATACATACTTATACACATATATGTATACATGTATATATATGTATTTAGAGCATGTGTATTACATCAATAATCATGTTATTGTAATATAAACACTCTAGCCATGCATTGCCTCCGAGCATTCTCACCAGGAAAATCAACTTCAAACTAACATCCTTCCAGTGTGACATCACCAAGCGACTGGAGACCGAAGGATGTTCTCTTCGGTCCGCAAAGGCCAGTCGATCCTTGCCCACAGAGTCGGACCTTTCAGTCCAGTGCGACTGCGACTGCTGCCTCAAGCCACACAAGGACTGCAACAAGTACTACGAGTGCAAGGTAGGAGGGACGACGCACCCTGAAGGCACTAAAACAAAATGACTTCTTTGGTTACACGGTAACTACACCTACGTTAGACTCACATAACTAATATCAAGATTAAAAAAAGAAAAAAATCCTATTCAAAGTAAAATTGCCTTGGATTTGCAGTATCAAAAAATACTATTTTTGCTTTCTTTCATAACAGGATAACGTTGCCTACGTTAAGGAGTGCGGAGGTGATTTGGTGTTCAATCCTGCAAAAGAACAGTGCGATCTTCCAACCAATTATGAATGCCCTAAACCAAATCCTTGCGGCTGCCATTGCCGATACCCAGTGGACGGGGAGTGCAATGCTTACTATGACTGTAAGTAATTCGAAAGATACAACTTTAATTCTTACGTTGCAAGTAGTATTAATGAACGTTCTATGTAATATTTTCTCATTTTCATCGTTTTTTACTTTTGTGTGATGAGTTTATTCATAAATTGGCTCCTGATTTTATTTGCATTTTCAAGTATAGCCTATTTCATCTTTGCAGTCAATACATAGTATTACTTTGCTTATTTGTGGCATACTGTTGAGGTGACCAATTTTTTCGATATTCTCAGTTCTGTGTTTTTGGAAGCTGCCATATTATCTGTTATTAGGTGGATGCTTTAGAAGATTAATTATGAATTTATTCAACCTTCAGGCAGGGACAACGAGGCGGAGAAGAAGTACTGCTCAGAAGGCCTGCTGTTCAACCCCGATACCCGCATGTGCGACATCGCTGCTAATGTTGACTGCCCGACTATTCCTCCAACACCTGGAACTTGCGATGGAAACGTCTTCGATTCCGACGTTAGTTGATCTTTCTCTTTGTCACTGCTATAATTGATATTAATGAACTAATTGCAGACATCAGTTACCATAGTTATGGCACTTATCCAAAGGCCTTATCAACAGCCTGATTGCAAGTTCTGGGCCGCCAACAACGACTGTCACTGCAAGTGGACAGATGGTGACTGCTCCTGGCAGCACTTTGTCGCCCGTGCATGTCCCCGTAGCTGCGCCTGCCAAGACCATGTGGACGTCACCAAACCTACTATAACTGACTACCCTTGCGTGGACTGCTCTACCGGACAACAGTACTGGCAGCATCCCAGCGACTGCCGCAAGTTCATCCAGTGCGCACCCTACGGTCCTCAGGAGATGCCATGTGGAAAGGGAACAGTGTGGGACCAAAACCTACTCACCTGCAACCATGAATGGGCTACCCAGTGCTTGACAGGCAACTTCCTTCTCTCTAACGGAAGCTGTTCAGGATGCTCAGGATGTACTCCTCCAGCAAAGCCCACAACCAGGCCTACCCAAAAACCTGTCACACCAGGCAACTTCACATGTGTGGATTGTTCCACTGGCCAGCAGTACTGGCAGCATCCTACTGACTGTCACAAGTTCATTCAGTGTGCACCTTACGGTCCCCAGGAGATGCCATGCCCTGCAGGAACCAGGTGGGACCAGAAGATCCTCACTTGCAACCACGAGTGGAAGACCCCATGTGTGACAGGCAACTACCTTCTACCTAATGGAAGCTGTTCAGGTTGCACCGGATGCCCAACAGTAACCATCGAACCACCAGTTGGCTGCGGTGGTGAGAATCCAGACTGCAAGCACTGGGCTGCCAGTGGAGCCTGCACCTGCAAGGCAGGCAGTGACTGTACTTGGGCGAACCAAGTGGCTTCAATGTGCCCCAAGACCTGTCGAGGGGACTGTGGGTCAGTTACTCCAGTAACGGACCCCTGCAACCTCGTGTGTCCTTCTTACAGTGGTCTTTTCCCACACCCAAAGGCCTGTACCAAGTGGGTTCACTGCGACCACTACATCCCCTACGTGAAGGACTGCCCCGCTGGTTTGCACTTTAACCCAGCAATCAAGGTAAATAGTGATATCCTGAGGAAAGAACTTTCTATTACACACTATATGACTTAATGTCAAACTGGATATCTCACGGGGTATCCAGTTTTGAGTCTTTGCTACTGAGTATTTTGCACACTTTCAGTTGGCCTACTATGATGCCTTATCTGTAAGCATGTCTTTTTGATTTATATGCTTCATCTTCTATTGATGATGTCTAAATCTTAACTTGTTTAAAAAGGTATGCGACTGGCCAGATCGCGCAGGTTGCACCTCAGGAGAGCACCAGAGTTGCGTAATTCCCACTGATCCACCAGTCACCGGGCCCCCTCCAACACCCAGCCCCAATTGCACATGCGAATGTTGCCATCTTCCTCATCTAACTGACTGCACAGCCTATTACTACTGTGATGTAGGTTTATTCTTTATATTCGATTCACATAGCTGTTTTCACTCTGAAATGCAAATATGAATGAATCTAGTATATCTAATGCAATCTGATATAATATCTCAACACAATGATTCAATAGTAATTAAACTGATTTCAGGTGAACAAGAACATGACGTTCTTCACGTGCCCGTCTGGGCTAGTATTCCACCCGGAATTGGATACGTGTGTGTACCCTCAAGATTACCCACAATGTGATATTGAAGTGCCTCCCGTTTGCGAGTGTGACTGCCACTATCCCTCAAAGATTTGCAGCGAATACTATGACTGTGAGTGACGATATTTCAGTAACAGGGATATCAAACTTCGAACATATTTCTAACCTTATATTGAATACTAACGTGCCATATCCATGCATAAACATGTCCCTTGTTTGAACAGTGTATGATTTCTTTTTCTGCTTTTGCCAGGCATCGACAATGTGCCCGTGAAGAAGGAATGCCCCTCCGGTCTCCTGTGGAACCAAGAAAAGAAGTCATGTGACTATCCCGAGAACGTCGACTGCAGCAATCGGAGAACGTAAGGCTTCGACCGTGCATCAAGGCCTGAATTTTTGATCCGAAACACACATGACTGACAGAAATCTTTCTATTGCCTACAGTGAAACGTCCTTATGTCCTTTAATAGTCACGAATTGTCAGAAGGCATGAAAATACTACCTGAACAATAGTTTTTTTTTATTAATGATACTCTTTTCTGATAATTATGTTTCTTTGCCAAAATCTTTTCATCATTTACTGTCTTTGAATTCTACTTGCAATGCATCTCGAAAAATCATATTTGTTGTTTTCTTTCTTTCCCGAAATAAACCACCTACGTATAATTAACCAAAAACAAAACACTAGAGGAATACAATGAGGTGCTTTTGCTAATAGAAAATGTTACTACTGCATCAATCCAAACACTCGACAGCCAGTGCATCGAAGTGGCAAGTACTTGGAAAGCCGATCTATGGACTAGAGTCAAATATAATCATGAAAGTAAGGCATGGACTGCAAAACGTACTGTTTACAGAAGAGAAAGAAAAAGCAAAACAAACTGAGATTCGGATAAAATACTTGCCTGTTCTCTTTTCACACATCCCGTTTGTTTGCATCCTACGTGCTGAGTGGCAGACGTGAAGGATCCCTATACCTTCCACGACTATTGCAGATATTACATATAACGTTTCGCCAAAGAGATCCCACTTACAACCAAATTTCATATTCTGTATAAACTTGTCATTTTTGTCCTGCACTGACAGGTAAGTAAGAATGTTCGTGATTTATGATCATCATGATAATGATAATTATAATAACGATAATAATGACAACAGTAACGATAGTAATGAGGATTATATCAATAACAACATTGGCAATGAAGTGGCAAGCTTTTACCATCTATCGCCACCACGTTTTCCCTCTCCCCCTCCCCACGTCCCCGTCTTATCCCCTCTTGTCCTCTTCCCAACACTCCTTCTCCTCTCTCCTCCTAACTACTTATCTCTTCCTTGCTATTACTTTAATAACTATAGGGATGATAATAAAAACGATGATAGTAGTAACAGAAAGAATGACAACAATAATAGGAATGACAATGAAAATAACAGTAAAAAAATAATAAGAATAATAGCAACATTAGTAATAATACTAACGATAATAATAGTAATGGTAATAATGATTATGATAACGATGATAATATCACTAATAGTAAAACAACAAAATAACTAACAATGATAGTAATGATAATAATAATGATGACTATACTAGTGATATTGATAACAACAGTAATGATAATGATTATTACTCATACCATTACTACTATTACTAAATGATATTCTCATTACTAGTATCTATTATTAACATTATTACTTTGATTAGTATCTTTTACACACACACGCACACGTTTATGTGTATATATATGTGTGTGTGTGTACATATGAATAGATATATTTATATATATACTATATATTCACATATATATATACAGTATATATATACTGTATATACACAAACACATAATATCTATCTATCTATCTATCTATCTATCTATATACATACACACACAATATATATATACATACACACACACACACATATATATATATACACACACACACACATATATATATACTGTATATACACACACACACACAATATATATGCATATATATGTATATATATACATATATATGTGTGTGTGTGTATGTCTATAATATATCTATATCTATCTATATGTATATATATACATACACACACATATATATGTGTGTGTATCTATACATGTATGTGCGTGTGTGTGTGTGTATGCATACATAAATACATAGATATTATGTATATATATATGTGTGTGTGTGTGTGTTTGTGTGTTATATACACAGGCACACACACATACATATATATACACACACACATATACATAGCCTACGTATGTATATAGGTATATCGATACATATACCTTTATACATATTGTATATATGTATATATATGTATGTGTCTATGTATATATGTATATATTTATCTATATGTATACAGACACGCACACATATATATCTACATGTATACACATATGTGTATGTATATACGAATATATATATGTATATATATGTATATATACTAGTATAGGTATATGTATGTATATATATGTATATATTGTGTGCATGCATGTATATATATGCATACATATATATGTATATATGTATATATGTATACATGAATACACACATTTATACAGTATGTATGTAGGTCTATCAATATACCTATATACATATCTAGGCTACATGTATATATATATTTAAAAATGAGACAACAGTTTCGGAATCCACCTAGATTCCATCCTCAGACCTGAGGATGGAATCTAGGTGGATTCCGAAACTGTTGTCTCATTTTTAATAAATCTAGTTTTTACATTGGGTTTTCATCTTTCATATATATATTTATATATAATATACACATCTGTGTATGTGTATGAATATATATATATAATGAATATATATACATAAATACTATCTATATATACATATATACTGTATGTATATACATATATGTATATATATATGCATACACACAGATACACACGCACACATATGAATATATATATATACATATATATATTTATACACATATGGTCACATAAGTAGATAGTGAGATATCAAATGCACACACACACACACATAGTGTGTGTTGTATGTCTATAATATAATCTATATCTATCTATATGTATATATATACATATACATACACACACATATATATGTGTGTATCTATACATGTATGTGCGTGTGTGTGTATGCATACATAAATACATAGATATTATGTATATATATATGTGTGTGTGTGTGTGTTTGTGTGTTATATACACAGGCACACACACATACATATATATACACACACACATATATATATATACATATATATGTATATATGTATATATGTATATATGTATATATATGTATATATGTATATATGTATATATATGTATATATGTATATATATATGCATACATATATATGTATATATGTATATATATACATACACACACACACACATATATATATATACATATATATGTATATATGTATATATATACATATATATGTATATATATGTATATATATGTATATATGTATATATGTATATATATATGCATACATATATATGTATATATTGTGTGCATGGTATCAACACGGTAGAGTGTTTTCATCTTTCATATATATATTTATATACACATCTATATACACATCTGTGTATGTGTATGAATATATATATATAATGAATATATATACATAAATACTATCTATATATACATATATACCGTATGTATATACATATATGTATATATATATATGCATACACACAGATACACACACACGCACACATATGAATATATATATATACATATATATATATTTATACACATATGGTCACATAAGTAGATAGTGAGATATCAAATGCACACACACACACACATATATATGTGTGTGTGTGTGCGTGCATGTGTGTTGGGGGGGGGGGGGGTTATATGTATATATATGATAATTATCGTAAAAGAAATATTGGCAGATTGTGGCATCATCTTGCAAATCCTTTTTCGGCTCACTCCTAACAGACATACCAAGGGAAGTGGTTGCGACATGTGACATGTGAAAAAATTACCCAAGCGAAAAAGACAGTTTATTTATATGTTTAAAAGAACTACAGCTGAACTAATTTGACCTTTTTTACGACATTCATACTTGGACTTAGAAGCACGCGTCTTTTTCTATGGAGAGGATTAGAATATCGAAGCCATTAGCATGTATATTTCAGAAGAGTAGATTGTTATAGACTATTTTTACTGACGTTCCAGGCTACCGATTCGCTGTAGCATTGGTTGTCTTTCAACTCCGGTAATATATGGTTCGTTGCCTTTTAGAAAGGGCATTGCACATAAAACAATCGTTTATATATTGCAATCAATCCCAAAAGATCCAAACAGAAGTTTCCCGAGCTAATTATCAGGTGGATTAGTAGACTTAAGCTTCTCTTTTTTCTTTTTTTTCAAGACTCCTTATCCACATTACGTCGATATCTGATGATTTTTTCACTCTGCTTTGCATATAAGAAGTGCGGGACAAGCAACCGCAGCGGAAGGCGCCCACGAGGCTTACTGAAAGCACGACAACTGTTCTTCTCGTAGTCGCTTCCACTGGTCTTGAGGAATATGGGAACTAGCAGGTTCCTGGCTGCGGTGGTTGCAGCCTTGGCGCTGGCGGCATCGACTGAGGGTAGATATATCAATCATTCACGCTTCTCTCTCCTCTCTCTTTGTTTCTCCTCTCTTATCTCTTTCTCTCCCTTCCTCTCGTTGTCTGTCTGTCTCTGTATATCTCTCTCCCTCACTCCCCGTCTCTCTGTCTCCCTCTCTGACCACAAAAAATAGGCAACAAAAAGTAAAGAATGAAGTATATATACATACACACATATATAGATGCATATATATAGTATAGTTGCGTGTGTATGCACACAGAGGGGTAAAGGAGAAAAAGAGGGAATGGGTTATAACTCGGCCGTGGTAATCAACTATTCAGGAAAGTCGGGGTGTTAATACACATATCCCTCTACGGATGATAGGTCCAACTTAGTGTTTTTATATATTTATGTCTGTATCGATTTACTTGTGATCATAAAGGTCTCAGCATCTGCACCACGTTGACCTGTCCTGAACCCAACGGCCTCTTCGCGCACCCGACGGACTGTCACCGCTACGTCAAGTGTGCCAACGGCCACGCCTACGTCGAGACCTGCCCCGCCAACCTGCACTTCAACGAGGCCTCGGGAAGCTGTGACTACGCGGAGAACGCCAAGGTAAGGTCAGACCTGGTCACCTGTGTCTCCATATGTATTTATATTTATATTCCCATACATACACACATCAGGGCATACATATGTCTGTATATAAACATATTTATTCATACATATATACATATACATGATATATATACACCTATTCATTTATCTATATGAAAACAAACACACAGTAACGTACACAAAGATAAAAAGGAAAACAGCCACAATAAGCAATGGAAATAACTCATAACTTATATATATAGTATATACATATCTATCTATCTATAAATATTAAAACAGCCACAATAAAGAATGAAAATAACTCGCAACTGACACAAATACAAACACAGTAACGTGAACACACAAATGAAAGGAAAACTGCCAATTTCGTTTCTTACTGTGGCAGTTTTCCTTTCATTAACTCGTAACGTTTCGAACTCTTCAGGTTCTTCATCATTAACTGAAATGGATGATTTCGGTTATTATTTTTACAATAACGAACTCCAGAAGAGTTCGAAACGTTACGAGTTATTTTCATAACTTGTTGTGGCTGTTCACCTTTATATATATATATATATATATATATAATATATATAGATATATATGTATATAATATATATAGATATATATGTATATAATATATATAGATAAATATGTATATAATATATATAGATATATGTATATAATATGTATAGATATATATGTATATAATATATATAGATATATATGTATATACTATATATATGAACGTGTGTATGTATACATACATATGCGTATGCCTCTATATACATACATATTATATATACATATATACGTGAATATGTATATATACAGTATACATATATGTATATGTATATATATGATATACATATATATGTGTATATATATGCAAACATATACAAATATATATACATATATATATATATCTGTGTGTATGTATGTGTGCGTGTATGTATATTCAAATATATATGTATATGTATATACATACAAATCATACATGTGTGTTACGTCAATTTAGACATCTTGCTATCATGATAAAAACTTTAGCCAAGCATTACCTTTAAGCATTTTCACCAGTACAAACACAAGAGATATTCTAAAAGGAAAATCGACTTCAAACTAACATCCTTCCAGTGTGACATCACCAAGCGACTGGAGACCGAAGGATGTTCCCTTCGGTCCGCAAAGGCCAGTCGATCCTTGCCCACAGAGTCGGACCTTTCAGTCCAGTGCGACTGCGACTGCTGCCTCAAGCCACACAAGGACTGCAACAAGTACTACGAGTGCAAGGTAGGAGAGACGGCGCCCCCTGAGGGCTTTACATTTGAATAAGAAAAACAAAATGACTTTTCTTTGGTTTCACGGTAATTACACCAACGTTAGACTCACATAACTAATATTAAGATCAAAAAAAGAAAGAAAAAAATCCTATTCAAAATTGCCTTGGATTTGCAGTATCAAAAAATACTATTTTTGCTTTCTTTCATAACAGGATAACGTTGCCTACGTTAAGGAGTGCGGAGGTGATTTGGTGTTCAATCCTGCAAAAGAACAGTGCGATCTTCCAACCAATTATGAATGCCCTAAACCAAAACCTTGCGGCTGCCATTGCCGATACCCAGTGGACGGGGAGTGCAATGCTTACTATGACTGTAAGTAATTCGAAAAATACAACTTTAATTCTTTCTATGTAATATCTCATTTTCTTCGTTTTTACTTTTGTGTGATGAGTTTATCCATAAAGTGACTCCTGATTTGATTTGCATTATCAAATATAGTCTATATCATCTTTGCAGTCAATACATAGTATTAGTATGCTCATTTGTGGCATACTGTTGAGGTGACCAATTTACTTTGTTGTGTGTTTTTGGAAGCTGACATTTTTCTGTTATTAAATGGATGCTTTAGAAGATTAATTATGATTTTATTCAACCTTCAGGCAGGGACAACGAGGCGGAGAAGAAGTACTGCTCAGAAGGCCTGCTGTTCAACCCCGATACCCGCATGTGTGACATCGCTGCCAATGTTGACTGCCCGACTATTCCTCCAACACCTGGAACTTGCGATGGAAACGTCTTCGATTCCGACGTTAGTTGATCTTTCTCTTTGTCACTGCTATAACTGATATTAATGAACTAATTGCAGACATCAGTTACCATAGTTATGGCACTTATCCAAAGGCCTTATCAACAGCCTGATTGTAAGTTCTGGGCCGCCAACAACGACTGTCACTGCAAGTGGACAGATGGTGACTGCTCCTGGCAGCACTTTGTCGCCCGTGCATGTCCCCGTAGCTGCGCCTGCCAAGACCATGTGGACGTCACCAAGCCTCCTGTAATTGAATACCCTTGCGTGGACTGCTCTACCGGACAACAGTACTGGCAGCATCCCAGCGACTGCCGCAAGTTCATCCAGTGCGCACCCTACGGTCCTCAGGAGATGCCATGTGGAAAGGGAACAGTGTGGGACCAAAACCTACTCACCTGCAACCATGAATGGGCTATCCAGTGCTTGACAGGCAACTTCCTTCTCTCTAACGGAAGCTGTTCAGGATGCTCAGGATGTACTCCTCCAGCAAAGCCCACAACCAGGCCTACCCAGAAGCCTGTCACACCAGGCAACTTCACATGTGTGGATTGTTCCACTGGCCAGCAGTACTGGCAGCATCCTACTGACTGTCACAAGTTCATTCAGTGTGCACCTTACGGTCCCCAGGAGATGCCATGCCCTGCAGGAACCAGGTGGGACCAGAAGATCCTCACTTGCAACCACGAGTGGAAGACCCCATGTGTGACAGGCAACTACCTTCTACCTAATGGAAGCTGTTCAGGTTGCACCGGATGCCCAACAGTAACCATCGAACCACCAGTTGGCTGCGGTGGTGAGAATCCAGACTGCAAGCACTGGGCTGCCAGTGGAGCTTGCACCTGCAAGGCAGGCAGTGACTGTACTTGGGCGAACCAAGTGGCTTCAATGTGCCCCAAGACCTGTCGAGGGGACTGTGGGCCAGTTACTCCAGTAACGGACCCCTGCAACCTCGTGTGTCCTTCTTACAGTGGTCTTTTCCCACACCCAAAGGCCTGTACCAAGTGGGTTCACTGCGACCACTACATCCCCTACGTGAAAGACTGCCCCGCTGGTTTGCACTTTAACCCAGCAATCAAGGTAAATAATGATATCCTGAGGAAAGAAAATTCTATTACACACTATTCGGCTTAATCTCAACCTGGATATCTCACGAGGTCTCCAGTTTTGAGTATACTTGCTTCTGAGTATTTTGCACACTTTCAGTTGGCTTACTATAATGCTTTATAAATATGTTCTGTAAGCATCTCATTTTGATCTATATGCTTCATCTTCTATTGGTGATGCCTAAATCTTGTTTAAAAAGGTATGTGACTGGCCAGATCGCGCAGGTTGCACCTCAGGAGAGCACCAGAGTTGCGTAATTCCCACTGATCCACCAGTCACCGGCCCCCCTCCAACACCCAGCCCCGGTTGCTCATGCGAATGTTGCCATGTCCCTCATCCAAATGACTGCACAGCCTATTACTACTGTGATGTAGGTTTATTCTTTATATTTGATTCACATAGTTTTCACTCTGAAATGCACATATGAATAAATTTGGTATATCTAATGCATCTGATATGATAAACATAATGACTTAATAGTAATTAAACTGATTTCAGGTGAACAAGAACATTACCTTCTTCACGTGCCCGTCTGGGCTAGTATTCCATCCGGAATTGGATACGTGTGTGTACCCTCAAGATTACCCACAATGTGACATTGAAGTGCCTCCCGTTTGCGAGTGTGACTGCCACTATCCCTCAGGCATTTGCAGCGAATATTATGAATGTGAGTGACGATTTTTTCAGTAACAGGGGTATCAAACTTCGAACATATTTCTTTCTAACCTTATACTGAATACTAACGTGTCATATCCATGCATAAACATGTCCCTTCTTTGAACAGTGTATGATTTCTTTTTCTGCTTTTGCCAGGCATCGACAATGTGCCCGTGAAGAAGGAATGCCCCTCCGGTCTCCTGTGGAACCAAGAAAAGAAGTCATGTGACTATCCCGAGAACGTCGACTGCAGCAATCGGAGAACGTAAGGCTTCGACCGTGCTTCAAGGCCTGAATTTTCGATCCGAAACACACATGACTGACAGGAATCTTTCTATTGCCTACAGTGAAACGTCCTTATGTCCTTCTTTAATAATTACAAATTGTCAAAAAGCATGAACAAATAATGCTTTTGGAGAATGGATACTTCCTGAACATTAGATTTTATTTTCATTTATGATATTGTTTTCTGAATAATTATATTTCTTTGCCAAAATTAAATTACTATTATACTGTCTGAAATTTACTTGCAATGCATCTCAAAAAAACATTTTTTTTTCTTTCCCAAAATAAACCACTTACATATAATTAACTTCTATTCCAAAGCAAAGCACTGGAGGTATACAATGAACTGTTTTTACTAATAGAAAAATGTATGGCTCGCAATCGAACAGGGAAGGAAAGATGAGAGAGAGAGAGAGAGAGAAGTGATGGACAAAGAGAAAGAGTGGACTAGAGAGAAAATAAGAGGAGAGAGAGAGAGAAGTCTCTGGACGTCTTGAGTGATCACTTGTGATGGTATGCTATTGTTGATACTTTAGCTTACTGTATGAAATGAGGTGTTAGCTTTTCTCTTATTCACCCTATGCCTGGCAGTGCATGGAGCAACCAATCATCAGCGAAATTCCAAACGCTTTATACTTTCGTACTCTACAAAAGACGGCTTTGTTCTTTTGCATGGTGATATTAGAAATTCTGTTGATCACAATAGGTACGTTCTTTGAATATTTTATCAGTTTATCATTTACACCAGATGAACGGATAAGAGAAATTAAATACGGACAAGAACAAATAAATAAACAAACTGCAAGAAAAAAAGAAAGGAGAAGAATCATAGATGGAAGTCATGAATGAAAAAATCAGTTTAGTAAAAGCAGTAAAGCAATGTTGAGAAATGCAGAATTATGCCAGATTATTATGCTTTCAAGAACTTATACACATACAAACACAGACATATATCTGTGTACATATCAAAGATCCCACAAAGAAAGATTAACAACTTTTCTGTTTCATACTTGTATTCTGTCCAAAATTAGGAAAGGAAAAACTGGCAACCCAACTCGAGCTCTGGAGTGAAGTGCCAAGTTGTTCTTAAAAAAAATTGTGCTGAAGGTGAGGCAAATCAAAACGTAAAGCAATAAAATTATTATATGTACTTTTTAAAAATTCAAACATTTGCGTGCATAGTTGTTTGGGTGATGTCGAGTGAGGGAAGGTAAGGTAAGGAGAGAGTAAACGGAGTCTTGGATATATATGGTGGTACTCAGAGAAATTTTGAAGTGGGTGAAGGGTCTGATCTCGTAAAGTCATGGTGTCACGAGGAAAAGATAAAATACTAGATTTTTTTTTATTATTATTATTTTTTTTTTATTGCCGTGGGTGAAGTAATAGGAATTTTCATCTTCATATGTCAGCTGTCTGAGTAGAGGGAAACGCAGGCTGTCGTCACCCTGATCAGATCAGAAAGTAGCGTAGTAGGTTTGAGAACTGGCACTAAGAATTTGGCTAGATTAGAGTCAAATGAGTTTACAGCTGACAAGGTAAGTATAACCGGTACATCAGGTTTATGAACTTTTGGTAGTCCGTATTATATTCCAGGTAAAGAACCAGATGTTCTGAGTTGAATATATATATATATATATATATATATATATATATATATATATATATATCAGAGGAAATAGTGCCACTGCCATTAAATGTTTGAGCTTTCAATTCTATTTAAAAATAAATTTTAGAAAATGGCTGATTATCCAACTTTTTAAATTTTGTATGGTCTGATAGTATTAAATTTACTTTATGGACATAATAATTTTTCTCTAATATATAACACCTTTTCCTCTATCAGGTTTAGTTATAATGATGTTAGAGTCATCCTTTAAAGATTTCAAAGCACTGTGTCTGGCTCTGATGAAAGATGGTAACCAGTGTCTATGGCTTTTGAAATAAAAAGTCAAACAGTGCTTTGAAATCTTTGAAGAGTGACCCTAAGAGGCCAACTCTAGTACGAGAGCAAACGGTTAGTAGATTGTCCATCTCATTTTAACCACTGTTGTATAAAAGATATGTTGAAGATATGCTGTTTAATGATGTTTCAGACTGTGTTAATCCTAAACATGATAACAAACATTTTACTTCTGAAGTCGAAGTCAACTATTCCCTGTCTTTTCTGAATACTAGACTTGATCATGATCATAATACCTTTAAAACCTTTGTGTGAGAAAACATTTTCTGGTCTGGGTTTGAATTATCTACCTACGATGTCTGAGGTTAATGCAATCAAAACATTGCTGTACAGATGTTTTCAAATATGTTCAGGCTGGCATTCTATTAACCGAGAATTTCAGTTCGAAAACTTTTTGAAAAACAAATTCTCTTTGGCTTGTAAGGTTATGTGACAGAGGAACCCAAAAGAGGCTACCCGTGAAGCGGGAGGCTTCTGGCTTAAGGGCCAAGGAAAATGAGGGGCCCCGTTCGTTCCTCGAAAAAGGGGGTGAGGGGACCGAGCTCAAGGCTCAGAACCCACACGACCTCACAAGCCACTTATCCCCGTAGATGCAGGCCTACCAGAGGCGTGACCAATACGAAGATGCATGATAAATAAGTTAAATAAGTTAATAAGTAAAAGACAATTGCCAGGAGGGCTTAAGAATGAATCAAAATACGCCAGAAGGGCTTAAGAAAAAAATGAAAGCATGCCAGAAGGGCTTAAAAACAATAAAAAGAACTAACATCTAAGATAAAACAAGTAAAAGGTAAAATAAGGGAAAAAGTAAAAGCTCAAGTAAAAGTTCAAGTAAGAGGTATAAGCATGAATAAAAGTAATAAGTAAAAAGACAAGGTAAAAGTAAGTGAAATTCAGTAACTTAAAAGTAAAAGTCAAAGGAATACACATAGTTCACAGTATACGTAAAATAATAAAATAGCACGTCCAGCATAAATACACGTGGGCAAGTAAAAGGGGCAGTACAACCTTGTTTCGGCATCCACGGTGTAGAATCCAGACAGGTAAATCCAAAGGGTAGTCAAAGCACAGTCAGAGTATCCACTTCGTTTATTTTACCAAAACATGGGGGTTACATTAACTCCCGCGGATGGCGGCGTAGCACATAAATATAGTAAAACAATAAGTAAGAATCATTATAATAAAAGAAAATATACAAAAGATAAAACCAAAAATAAAGACAATAAAACGTTAAAAGAAATAATTAAAGAATTACAATTATGACAAAAAATACATAAAAGAATATGCTGCGATTCGTTAATAAAAATCTTCAAATAAGTAACTTTCTCTTGCCGTAAAAGTAAAATAAAAAGGATGAATAAGTAAAGAGAAACCATTATAAATATATAACGGAATATAAAACACAAGGAATAAAAAAACTTTAAAAAAAGATGCAGTCGCAGCAGATGTGGATGTTTGTTAAACTATGCACGGATAACAATGGGTCTCAGTAAAGGTTTTTATTTTTTAAAAAGTGTACAAGAAGGGTGTAAATAAACGTAAAATACATGTAAATAAGGGCCAGCGTAGTGCAAAAATAAAAAGCGTAAAAACAGGCTGGCAGAGGGAAGTGGTCCGGCTGCGCTCGACTCGCCCTGTAGATTTCGGCAGGATGGGAGCAGGAGAGGATAGAATTAAAGGTAGAAGGTAGGATAAACGGGAGAAAGGAATGGAAAAGAGGGAAATTAGCGTAGGAATAGAAGGAAGTGAAAAAGCGAGGGGACAGAAAGAGGGTGCGAATAAGGGAACGAGAGGGATAGAAGGATCAGGGCTAGGAAGTGGGGGGGATAGGTGATGGGATATGGGGTGAGGGGAGGAGGTTGAAAACCTCACAGGTTGTCATTCAAAAACGCACAAAACAATTCTCAAACAAGATGTTTTGGCCGGAACCAATGAATTACAATGAGCCTCGGGACTCACAAGCTTTGTATTACGGAAAGAACTACAGAAACAACTAAAAGCCTTCTTTTGTAACATTTCCGAAACCCCTAACACCTTGATACACTCTGATACATGGTTGCCCTTTATATTATTAGAGCTTGTTAAAACATCTTTTCATTTTGTATCAAAGTGTGTGCCTTCAACTTGATACAGCTTGATACACTTTGGCCAGCCAATGAGAGCCAGATATTTTTCAGATTATTTCTCGTAGTTTCAAATAGGGATTTATATTTCCATTGATTACGAATCGCATCATAAGTTTTTTGATATAGCTTCTTTATTGTAAAGGTGCATAAAATGTTTATGTGCCTTTATAGCAGTACATCAAATATTCACTCTATGCGTAAGATTTGAAGTGAATCATGATGGCCACTGGAATGACATGGTAAGAATTTCTAGTGTGTTGGCGTCATATGACGTGGTATTGATTTTGGTGGGATGAATGTCTTCAAAATCATCATGTACGTGTATGGTATAACTCTAAAAGCTCAAATATAGCAAAGAAAATACTGCGTAGCTTCATCTGTTCATGTACTTCATTCAGTAAATTAAGTAAATGTCTATGATCATTGGAATTACCCAGTTGTCTGATTTGGACATGGAACTCACTCGCGGTGGATACGATAAGATCTAAAACCTTATGCAACTTCCATTTCTCATATGAATAGTAATGTATGTAATAGGAAATATTTTAACTGATTCTGAGAAATACATTCTTTAATATCATATTTTGTAGCGCCCGTAATACAACTTGAAACAATAATGTATCAAAGTGTTAGGGGTTTCGGGATGCTACAAAAAAACATTTAGCTATCATTTCCCACAAATCAGTTTCAGAATCATTTTCACCAATTCCAGAACAAATCGTTTTCAATCTCTTAAAACAAACCGTGAAATAAAACTAGATGATTTTACAGTAATGAGAAAGGCACAAGATGTAAATCATTTTAGAATTATCAGAATTATCATCGGTTAAAGAAATAAAACCTGACATAAACAACAATGAAAAGTTTCGCTATTGTCAGTACCCTGAAATAACGTTAACCCTCCCCCTAACCTCACCCTCTCCATTTCCTCATTCTCTTACAACGGACATCCGTGCTTTCAAACTTTTGTAAACTATCGTCACGTCAACATAGCAGTCACGTACTTTATATTCCCCTTCTGGAGAATATTCATAAGCAAAACACCTTATTTATGTTCAGTATTTAGTATTTCTCTTAAGGTTTACTTTTATGATTTACGTTGTAGTTATATTTTATTTCTATCATTTTTTTTATTCGTTTAA